ATTATAAATATTTTTTTATGTGTGTATACTTTCACAGAATCCCTAGAAGCTCCAATATCGTTGTACTTATAGCTTGATGGTGGATTCAATAACCTACTGCCGCTCTCAGCTCATCTGCAAACAGATTTCCCCAGTTCGCCAGTGATTTATGGCAGTCCCATTTGAATTACTTCGCCTACTTCCCGGCAAACAGATCTGAGTCTTTGGGTAATTGTGTCTCCAGCCAGATCATATATCATCATGTAGTGGTCTTGCATATGCCATCAGCAGTTTAAACAGCAAGACTGAGTCTGATTTTGTCATTGAAATATAGAAGCCACGCCTTGTGACCACTAAATGTATCCACGGAATAGATCAAGAGGCTTCCAGCTACTCAAATGCCCCGGACACGCTTTCAAATCTATCACACTTGTGGAAACATAAAGCTTCGCAAGCGATACATTTTCAATGCTGTTCTATTTGGAGAGGCAATAAACCAAATCAAATCAGAGGGGGATAATTTTCAGCTAAAATCACACACAATTGAGCTTATGAATTTGCCACTATCAATCATACGCACTATTGGCTGCTCAAAATGATAGAACGGTCTTCGCCAACGAGACTAAAGCTGTTTCCAATCAAAAAGAAAATAAAGAACAATAAGATTAAATAAGCTCAATATTCGCCAGCACAGCTCCAGTAATTAAAAAAATGTTTTCGAAGATAACAAGCCGCTAGGAATACACTCAATTAAAAGACATCATCAATAAATTGCTTTTGTATTATAAACAATTCATTTTACTCACTCTCCATAAATATTCTCACAAAAATAATTGAAAACATATAGTGTGTATGTATGTTAAATGCAATATTTTTCTATATGGCCTTGTGGGTTAAAAGCTTGGGGCCTGTGGAGTTTAATGGCTTACACATATTGGTAGGAAAGTGCTTTGGAGAGCTCTTTACGGCTCGCCGGTGCTGGGCTTTTATAGGTCTGGCCAATTGTGTGCAGGCCAAAAGGCGTTGACGACCGCTGTGAACCCATCAGTTGAGTAATTTTTTTTGTTTTTGACAACTTTTAAAGCTTCGCATAAGAGACCTGACTAGAATGGCTTTCAAATACAATTTAACTTCAAATTTTGTTAGCAACCTTTGAAATGTCTTTGGCAAAAATATTACTTGTAACTAGAAATTAAGGGTTTAGTTAATTTAGTCAGTATAAATAAAAAAATAATTGAATTTAATTGAACAACTTTCAGTTACATATTTTTAAATATTTACTTCTCTTAAACATTCTTTCGTTTTTACCTCTACAGAATAGTTTTGTCCATAGTAAAGTTATTGAACCCATTGTAGCTCTCCTCTGCCCGAAATCGTAAAAAAAGTGTTTACATTTCATTCATAAAATATCAATTACGGACATGTGTGACAGCTAAGCGAGTGTGTTCGGGTGTATGGGCTTTGTAAGTCAAATCGATATCATGCGAATACGTGAGGACATCAGAGTTCATTGCAAGAGCTTCGTCCTCGGCTGTGTGACATTTAGGGCCAATATGGTGCACAACACGCTCCCTGATGGAAATTTAACGAGTTGCGCGACAACAGCTCTTGTAATGCATAGCAGCACAGCATAATCAGCTGCCAGCAGCCAGTTCTGCAGGCAAAAAGGCTGCTCATAAACAGCTCGTTGGAGAGCCGGACGGAAGCAATTGATTGAAAACATAATTTAATATAAGTATTTTTCGAAACATTAAAGCATTGCAGAAATTTTCGTTTCACTTGAGGCATTTAAACATTTTTAAACATTTTTTAAACAACAAACTAGTTTGACTCTATTTTCTTGGTTTTATTAAAAAAAGAAACCATTGTAATTTTTCGGAAAAAAAATATATGTCTATAAAACCTATTCTAATATACCATAAATTCAGTTGTAAATGCTACACAAAAAAGAAGAAACATTTAATTTTCCGAAACTTCAAGATCTACCAATTCCTTACGACATCTCTTTAATTTCGATTTAATTTAATGCAATATCCTCCAAGCGGATAGAAAACCAAAATCAAGAAACGCCCATTCGCTTTAGCCTTGCGGCTTCTCCATTTAAGTAAATGCAGCCCACAGCCTTCGCATAACCAAGCAACTCGCCTGTGCCACCTACCACTCACCACCCACTGAACCACCCTTTTCGCCACCCACTTAACCACCCATTGAGCCACCCTATTTAACATCCGCTGGCCGCACCTGCTGTCTGCAGTTTGCAGTTTTCGGGGTGCACTTTGCTGCCTACTTTTGGGGCGCCACTCAATTATTTATGTGCCCCTGCAGTGCTGCCTCCCATATGAGGGACGAACTTTTTCGCCATCTGCAACACCACGTTGGGAAACATGGAATGTCTTTAATGTTAATGACTCGAGTGCTGCTCTTGCTCCTGCTGCTGGTGCAGAACTTTTGCAAACGCTTAAGGCGGCTTTGCGGCAAGACGACGAAGATGCCGGTAACTTTTTCCCATTGTGCGGCTGCGAATCTTGAATCTCTGGTGACAAGTTTCAGCCTGCACACAACTTTTTTTATAATAGCATGCCGGCACTCATTAAAAACGCATTAACTATGCAATGTAAATCATTATTGTGCCATAAGTGGCACTCAACCCGTGCATGCAACTTCCCCGGGGGCATCGGTATCATCTGGCAGCAGCTATGTCATCCGATAATTGTGTACATGTGTATACCGTCGGATATATGTTCGATAATGTCAGGGGCCAACTTATGAGTTATGGTTCCGATTGACCTGCAGGTTATAGTAACAGACAGACCGCAGATGCCATAAATTGGGTATTATTCAATGATTTCAAAGATTTAAGAAAGGTTTTTAATGACAATTTACTTATTAAAATATTGTTTTAATAATTATATTGGTATTTCTTCTAAAGTGTATACAATTAATATTCTCCTTTTTTTTTTTTTTTATATCTTATATAAATTTGGAATGGATATTTTACGGAATTTATGGTAACGTTTTCAATACTTCCAGTTTAAACAAAATCACCTCCACTAAAGAAACCCTTTAAAATTCCAAACCACCAACCCATGGAACACATTCACTATGCATCAGAAGAAATGGCCGTCGAAACCAGCAAATTTTTCACAATTTTTTTGCTTATCTGCTTAACATGTTAATAACCCCACCCGGAGAGAAAATGGCATCCCCAAGTCAGCCAGCTGGAGGGCGGGGAAATGCTCTTTCCCATTGAGGTGGCGGCAATAAATATTTTATAAAGGCCAGACGACGTCAACAAGAACTCGATGGGACACGGAACATCCTCCACAGGTAGCGACCGTCGTAAAAAAGGCAACTTTGTAGAAAAGATTGCGCTGATGTGCTGAAAATTCCTTCCTTCCGTCTTGTCAACAACAGCTGAATAGGCCACACAATTGGCTGGCAGATGGCTAAGCTTTTGGCAAGGCACCAACAAAGTGGGGCTCTCCTTTTGACCCAAAACACCCTGCCGAGCTCCTTTTTTTCCCAACCCACATGGGCCACCGGGGTTTTCCATTCCGTTTCTTTATTCATTAGCATTTCGACGGGTCGAAATGTTCGTGAGTGGGAAATCCCTACATTAATATTAAATTTCTCTCTGCTCTCCACACTTTTCAAGCTAATTTGTTAGAGTGCGAAATGTTTAACAAATTTAAATAGCAAACCGGGCAAATTAGTTTTTATACGGCCAGCAAACAAATCTGGCCCAACGGCCTAAAGACCATTTCCGCTGTTAGCCCAATTTAACATGCGCTCTATTTGTTGCTGGCCATTAGTTGTCGGTGTTGAGCCGGACTTTAGGATTTTATTTAAACATATTTCGGACTTTTAATGAAATTTATGGGCCCATGTAATGAAAATCTGTGCTAAAATGTTTTTAATTGCTCTCCGCGAGGAATAAATCGATGGAAAAGTGATCTAATTTATGTGCATTTAAGCCAATTTCAACTAATTTACCCTCATTTATTTTATAACGGAAAACTGTAAATTGTGTAAATGTTTCCAACCGGCTGAGGTCTTAATTTAACTCTCTGTTATTCAATTAAAATATGCAATAATGCTGGTGTATAACTTCAGCAAAAGTTAAAATGTCTAAAACAAAATTGTGTAATTGGTCGAAATTTAATAGTAACCGCAAATATAAACAACGACACCCCGGTGACCCGTTAAAAAAATTTTGCTATCACCGCTTAGAGCCGGCAAAAAGGGAACCCCATTAACCATAACGCTTGGGCAATAAAAATAACAAGCCGCATCAAATTTTAAAGTAACGTTCAGCCAGGGAAAAAACAAACAAATATAATTGCTTCAAAGGCGGCGGCTGTCTAAGGCGTTGGCTTTTTATAGTCCTGGACTTTTATTGTTTGTACTTTTTACGGGGAAGAGGACAGGACAATTTTCTTGGGTCACAGAAGTTGTCGCCTGGGAAATAAGGTGTCTGAAAGTGAAGGAAAAACCACCTCGTTAAATCGATCTTGGCCATCTGAGGAAATATTCTACAGCTATGGTTTAATTAAATTAGTATTAGTATTGCGTTCGAGGTGATGAAAAATGATGCGTCTGAAAAACAAATCTTTGGCATTACCTTTTAAGATGTGTCTGAAGCTGTTTACTGCCATTCTCTCCTTTTTTAATTTTTTTAGATATAGAAGGTTTCAAGTTTATCTAGTTCGGCGAAACAGTGAAATTAACGAGCAACCCATCAAGCAATCTATTGAATGAGGAACTTACTTTAAGATAACCCCAAAACCCCAAAAAAAAGTTTTTCAAATGAGGAAACCCTAAAGCCAGAAATTGTGATCAATTGTAATTCTTTAATTTAATTATAAAAACAATAAAGGAAAACAATTTGGAATAGCTTGCAATTATTAAGGCGTTTTTTAAATGGTTTTGTATTGAGCAAGAGCGAAATGAATACATTTTTGTTTACAAATAAGGGCGATGGTTGTCAGGGGAAACAAAATAAACTCGAATGGGTAAATAGACTTCAAAGCAACCCCGGAACTTGTCGACTGGCAGTCGCAAAAAACAAATCTAACAAATCGAACAAACGCAGGCATCGAACAGCACCAACATGAATATTGTCTCGCAAGTCTGGTGGGTATCCAATGAAAATACTACCAACCCATTAACGAACTCATCCAATCCACAGTTGGTGCAACATCTGGGACACGGACACCATGGTGAATGTGGGTCCCGATGTCCTGTGCCTGCGCAATGGCAACGCGATCAAGTTCGTCCACATGCAGACCAAGGCGGTGCTTTTCTTCAAGCCGGAGACGGTGGCCACAGGGCTGAGTATCAAATGCTTTGCCGGCCACAACCGCTTTCCCCTTTTCGCCTTCGCCGAAGCTGTCCTGCGGCCCAATATCTATGTCTATCGCTATCCGGACTTGGTTAAATTCAGCACCATTCCACGTAAGTTATTAAATCCTTTGGGTGATGATTTCTGCCTGAGTGATAATGATTTCTTTCCAGCTTCCGAGATTACCTACACGGATATACGTTTCTCTGAGCTCGACCTTCTGCTCGCCGTGGGCGGATATCCCGACTACTCTATTTGTGTCTACAACTACCGAACTGCCGCCTTGGTCCTGCAGGAACCTACCCATGTGGCCACTTTGGAGCGCGGCTTGGTGATCAGCTCCTCCACTCTGCCCAGCATTGTGCAGTTGAACAAGCAGGATATGACCATCCCGTGCTACGACATCTGCACCGTCGAGAAGGAGTCCTTCCTCTATAAACTGGCCGATGTGGAGCTGGGCAAGAACTACTTGAAGTCCTGCGAGCGCTGTCTCACCTACGGCGACGACAACATCCTGTACGCCACCAATGACTTTGGCCAACTGCTGTACGTCGACGTGGCCTGCTTCGCTCTGAGGCACCAGTGGAGTCCCCCCTCAGAGGACGAGAATATGGAGAGGACGCCTCGAGCCCACGCCATCGCCAGCCATCGATCTGGATTCATCATCTCGAACAGCTCGAATGCCATTTATATTAAAAAGAAGGCAGGCGTTTACAAGGTGAGTCCCTCTTTTGTTACTATTATTATATTATTATAAGAATATAACAAAATATTATATAAATATATTTCAACGAAATGAATTTCATGTTATTACGACTTTAAGTTTGATCAACAGTTCTCCATTCGAGTCAGAAGATCCCGCATTTTTAGGGCTTTAACAATTTTCTTTTGTATAATATTTAAATAGTTTCCAAACAATTTACTTTTGTGTAATATTAAAATAGATTCCAAACCATTTATTCTTGTATAATATTAAAATAGTTTCCGAGCCTCTGCATCGTCTTTTAGTTATCTTGTATTATACAAGTATTTCTAGCATCATTGTTTTAGCTGCCTTTCGCCCTTCTTTCCTTTCCAGGTTGAATGGGAGCTGGAGTGTCGCCTGAACGAGGTGGTGCGCTTCCTGAGCAACAGCAACGGCGAGATCTACGCGGAGCGTCGGCCGGGTCACCTCGACCACGTGGTGGTGGACCGCAGTGGATCCGTTTCCCTTGAGTGCGTGGTGCCCGCGGGTCGACCAGTGATCACCTTCCGGGTGCTGCAGGGATTGAAGGACGAGTGCGTGTGCTGCCTGTACGACGACGGGGTGGCCATGCTGGACCTGGCCAAGGGCCACACCCTCTGCGAGGTTCCCGTTCCGGAGGCGAGTGCCATGAGCAACCACCGCAGTCTTGCCCTGGTGGCTGTGGGGACACTGGGTGCCCGCATTGTGCTGATCCACTTCGAGCGGGCCAGTCTGCCGCACGTTCTCTGCGAACTGACATTGGATGCGGCATCCGTGATCGGTCTAGAGTTCAATGACAGCTGGCTGGTGTTCCAGGACCAGACGAAGATGCTCCACGTCGTCCAGGTGGACAACAGGCCGCCCAAGCTGACCCACTACTTCGGGATGAACCAGCCGGAATTGGCGGCGGCCTTTGTGCACACCTTCCTCCTGGCGGACGGACCACGTCTGATGGTCTTCATCAACAGGGACCAGACGATGAAGCGTCCCGGCAACGCCACCGAGCTGTGGGTCTACAATTGGGGCAAGGACAAGCGGCTGCACCGGCGGGAGTATGTCCTGCCCAAGCAGTATGGCTTCTTTTGCGTCCAGCCGCCGGTGGGCAGATGGGCGATGATGGAGATCGTGGCCATCGAGTACAACACCCTCAACTTCAGCCAGTTCGCGCTGAACGAGAAGAACGAGCTGCAGTGGATCGCCTCCACCAAGTCGGCGCACTTCTCCTACATCCTGGGCGTCGGCATGACCAAGCATTTGGTCACCTGGGGCCTGGGCGGGATCATGGTGCACTTCAAGCAGCACAAGCGCGCCAAGAAGCCGTTCATGATCTCCCGATTCCTCAACATCGGCATGAAAACGGAGTACCTACTGCGGGTTAAGGAGTGCTTTAATTCCAAGTAAGTTTGATTCAAAAGAGGAAGATATTGTGTTCAAAATAATTTAACTCTTTTTACAAGAGAAAGCAAAACAATTTCATATCTCAAAGGCATTTTAAACAAAGAAGATAAACATATAGTAACTTTTAATTTTACCAACAATTGAAAAAGTTAAATACTCACACAAATGTATAAATAAATACAAAATACTTGCAAAGTTTTTGAGTACTTCTGAAACATGTTCTTATTATTTCCCTGTAATCATCATCTCCTGATCATTATTTAGTTTCATAAGCTAATTACTCCTCTGTAATATTCTATAGATACCTGATTATCATTTAGCTTCATTAAATTAGTTTCATCATCAATTACTCCCCTGTAATCTTCTATAGATACCTGATCATCCTGCTGGCGAACAAGAGCATGCGAGTGATGCGTCTGCCTTCCTTGGCGGACTTTGTCCGTGAAAATGAAGCCCTGCCCCTTCCGGTGGAAGAGGGCTTTCCATGCTACATCGACCAGACGCTCTACAAGGTGGATCAATTTGTGCCACTGAGCCTCAAGCAGGAGGTCAAGGAGGAGTACACTCGAGTGGATTTGTCGAAGCGCGACAAGCTGTTTGCCAGCATCAAGGACTTTGCGGCCAAGGTGACCGAACTAATTGATTACGACATCTCGAAAACGGGCAAAACCCATGGGATCTTCAAGAAGTTCTGCTTCCACTATCCCTGGTTGGATGCCCTCACCCAGGAGGCTCAGAAGTTGTGTGCCTTGGAGCGGGAATCTCTGGAGCTGGCCATTGCGGATCAGGCAAGGATTCGGGATTGGATCTTGAGGTTGGTTACCCGCGACGCTGTGAGCATCAACTACAAGGTGCGCTCCATATTCGCGGATGCCAACTTTGAGAGCTTCTCCCTGCGACGCAAAGTCGAGATGACCGAGTTCGACAAGTATCGTTTCTACGATCTAGAAGATCATATGCGCCTTTCCCTCGGCTCTATGGAAATTGAGGAAATAGAGGCACCTGCTCCGGCAGGTGGACATGGTGGACATGGTCCCCCACCCGATGACGACGATTTGGGCGAGGAGGAGGAGAAACCCGAGACTATCCAGGGATTGCGGGAACTCAAAACATTCGTGGTGGAAGGACCCAGCGTTTACGAGCACATCATGGCACCTGTTTTCCAGCTGCAGGACAAGGACCTGGTGACCTCCAACCAGCTGTTCAACTACAATTGCAAGATCCGCTACTACCTGAGCGATCCTCTGAAGCAGGAGTTCAACAAGCTCTTCCACGAGGCGCAGCAACTCAAGCAGGACACCATCGACAGTGTGATGCACACGAACGAGGTTCTCAACAAGATCTACGACAACATGAACATCATGCTGCGTCTCCTGAACATGGATCAGTTTACACCTCCAGAACTCACAATGCCCGGGCTGGAACAGGATGAGGTGATCAAACGGATCATGGAGGTGGACGACTCGGAGATCAAGGCGATCAACCGAAGGAAACCCAAGACAATCGACACTGGTGGTAAGAAGGGTCGACTGCTCCTGTGGAGTCCTGAGTTCTGGGCTCGGGCACTCATCGTGATGATGGATGGCGTGCTGGAGAAGCTCTGGGAGGAGGAGATCAAGAAGGACATTCCCGAGCCGGAGTTCGTGGCCAAGAAGCAGCCGCATGAGTACAATCTCGAGGAGCAGAAGATCTATCGTGCCTACGAGGAGGCAGTGCATCTCCTGGAACTCGATCGTCGTAAATATCTACGCATCCTGCACGAGAATGAAGAGAAAACACTGGCTTTAAAGGCTTCCCAGATACTGAAGCTCAACCAACGAGTTGCCGAACTGATGATCCTGAAGTTGAAGTACGACTTTGCCTTGAAGCAAGGACAACTAAGACTGCTGACCTTGGAGCACATGAACTTCAATCGGGTGCAGTTGCGCAAGCGCTACACTCTGTTCCGCAAGGATATCGACAAGTTAAGCGACTACATTTTGCGCTATGGCAATTTGCTGGATTTCTATGACAAGGCCTTCCAGGATCTCAAATTGAGGTTGGAGGCGCAGCAGACTCGTGATCGAGCCATCGAGAGGCAGTTCCGCAGCCAGTTCCTGCCACTGGTGCCGCATGCCACCCACGAGATGACCAAGCTCTTCAAGAAACGACCCAAGCTGCCCGGCAAGGTCTTCAACTCGGTGCTCATCTGCATGGAGGCCTCCAACAAGCTGAGTGGAAAGTCCACCCATCGGACACCTTTTCCGCTGCCCGACGATGTCCTTGAGTTCCTCAACTATCTGGCCGAGTTCGATCAGCCGAAGCAGTGTCCTCCGCAGGTGGACGCCAAGTCCTGGGACGCCTTCGTCAAGCTGCGAAAGCAAAAACGGAGAGCGAACTGCGGCTGAAGGGCATCGGGTACCAGCTGCTCGACAGCCAGATCCTGTCCAGCACCCTCAACAAGGACTTCTCGGCGCTCAAGGACTCCAAGCTGCTGACGCAGCGCAACGCCGAGGAGAGCATCCAAACCTACGTAAGTTGGACACTAACTTGCTTTTTATTCAGATCTTTTGAGGATTATATGCTATAACTCTTGGATTTGCTTTAAGACTAAAAAGAAATTCAACAAAAAGTAATTAACTATGCAAATCAACTAAGTACTTAATAAGTAAACAACAAATTGATTATTCTGCACGTTAGCTAATCTTGAAGATCCAGATCTGTTAACACTTATGACCTATGGTAATCTCTACAATAATTTTTTAATACGATGAAAACAAATAATAGGTTTTGAAGAGCTCAATAAAATGTACAGCATACTCTTGGGCATAAGTATGGCCTAACTATCATATAACTACCAATTGTTTACTAATTCTCAATAATTTATTTACTAATAAGGCTAACTTTTTCTACTGCAGTTGGAAAAGATGAGAAACATGACGATCCAGTTGACCCTAACAATGGGCCAGGTTGAAGTCGGGGTGATGGGCAAGTTCACCAAGCTATCGAACACAGTTCTCATGCATGTGGATGACATCAATGATGTGAATCGCCAGATACAGGTGAGCTCATATATTTCAAAGATTTATTTTATTAAATATTAATGCACTTAGGAAGCCGGAAACAAAAAGATCAAGGCCATGCAGCGGGTGGCAGTTTTTCGGCGCCAGGTGATCTTCAAGGAGTGGGAGCACAAGCTCTACAAGGCGAACATAGCCTATCTCAAATACATGCTGGATGCCATCGAGAAGTGCAAGGTGTCCATGGAGTTCCTCAACATTCTCCGCAACTGGGAAAAGGTCAAAACAGAGCGCCAGAAGTATATGGGTGGAGCAATCGAGCGGGTTATCGAGCAGAAAATAGCCGCCTTCAAGAAGCACATCGATCGAGTGTAAGTCGGACTCATTTAGACTTTGCCCAATGGTAATCTAAATTTATGCCACCCAAGGAATGTGAAAATCGATGCGGTGAAAGCGCAGACTTTGGAGGTAAAGCGTAGCAATCACGCCATCGATTTCAAAATCGAGCGGATCAAGGTTGACGTCACTTTCCAAAATACTTTACGCGATACCATGATGGAGGAGAAGCGGGACCGTGAACAACGAGAGCGGTGAGATAAGAGAACCAAACTCTGTACAAAATAAGGTTCAAGTTCAGTTGTTTCCTCTATAAAAATAATTTAAATTTTAAGATGTTATGGCGTAAGTAATTACCAAAATTACCACAAGTTCTTGAATCGGAAAAGATATTTTTTAAAAAGGCTATTAGCAGTAAAACATAGTTGTTTTCTACTATTAGGCAAATACCGGTTTTTTTCCAGCAATGGTTTAAGGTTTTATTTTTTTACTTTTTAACGGTTTTAGTTTGCTCCTATTTTATAAAAAAATTTATTTTTGGTGAAATTTTTCTCGGTGTACTGATAAGAATTCCATTTCCCTCCCCCACAGCATGTCACAGATAAAGACCCATCGGCAGCTCATGGAGAATGTGCGCCGGAACTACGCCCATGTGCTGGAATTGCAGACGATATTGGAGCTACTTCGACTGAGAACCTACCCCACTTTGGGTCCACCTCTGCCCCAATGTCATCCACCGGTGCCGGAGCACATCCTCAGTTCAGTGCCGTAGGAAAACCCAAACTTGACCCACCTGCAGACCCTTTCAAGAGATTAGGTTCAAGCCAGCTTACGAATCAACAATTAAATATTTTTATTGCATCAAGTAAAGATTTAATTGTGGGTTCTGGGGATTTGGTCTAAGTATTGAAATTATCATTAAAGTCATTCGCTTTTAACGTTGTTAGCTACTTAGCATTTTGCTCCCAAGCTGAAAACGTGCCCACAAAAATTAATTTTGTAGACCATTAACTTTTTTGGCGAGGTTTAACGGGTATTCCCTGAAAATTGTTTTCAAGTTTGTTAAACTACGGAATGACCCGAAATTTGTGATGAAAATAGTTCTGGCCTATTTAATAATGCAGTGATTACCAAAATATATTTTTCATTTATTTGTTAAGTTTTATGCGATTTAAAAAAAAATACCTGGTTTTCATTGCCGTATACTGAATGAAAAGCAAAATTGGCACACAAATTCCACTTGAAATCTACAGCTAAAATAGTTCGAAACCAATCAACAGTACAAAATCTAAAACCACTTACAATTCACAATACAATTTATAAAAACATGCTCTTTCAATTTGTCCAAGTTTTTTGGCAGAGGTTGTATTATATTTCGGTAAAATGTACCTATATATTCAAATGTTTGTTGCAAGCTTTAATTTTCATTGCCCATTTCTATTGTTGTACGAGCGTAAATCAAAAACTTTGATTACTTAATCCGGGAAACTGACCTTAATAACGAACTGTACTTTTTGTTTGCTTTGTGTGTTTATTTTTCAAACTTTACCGCTAATCATTCATAAAAATTTGATATATGTAAAAGTGCAAGCAGGTTTAGGAGCTTGACACTTGGCGAGAACCCTATGCTTTTGATATTCAGCATATTAAGTATATATAATATATATATTATATATTGAATATGATTTCAATGCTATCAGATAAAACTAATGCTTTTGCCTATGGCTTGGCAATAATTTTTAAATTTTCCATGTTGCCTTGAGTAATCTTTTATATTAATGACTTGCAATTTAATTGAAATGTGGGACGTCTTATCACCTTTTTTGAAACAGTAACCTTATCATCATGAGACCAATTGCCACGTGCTTCTACCAGGCGGATGCTGCTAAAGCAACAACAAACTTTACGAAAAGATTTAAAAGTGATAGAGCTCTTACAATTTTCTGGTAATCAGAAAAATGATTTTACATTTTATTTTAGTTGCCTGCTAGTTTGGTTTGCCATTGAACTACATTACAATCTATAAAGAACAAAAAATAACTGAAAATTGGCTTAGGAAATAGAAGGCCTTCAGCTCGGTTTAGTGTTGAAATTATAACCACATATCGCCAAACATTTTTAAAATTAAAATGTTTAACAAATGCCTACACTGTTAAAAATTTGCCTACTAAACAATTTCCATTATTAGATTGCCGTACACAACATTTTAAGGTGAACCCATTTCGAAGAACATCATATGTTCATGAGCAAAATTTTTTATTTGAAAACATATCCCAAAAATGTTATATTAATTTTTGTTTATACCATATTGAAATGACACTTCACTTAGTTAATCATAGATAGACTTCTACAATAGCATTTGACAAAGGTGGATTTGGAATTTGAAATTTGAAATAAACTAAACAAGTGTTCCCCCGATCAAAGCAAACGCACAGCGGCAATCTAAACAAGACATTTGAGCAGTCGGCGGAAAAAAGTACGCTTATCACGGGTCAGCTGAGGGGCTGTAAACGCTCGGCCTTCCTGGTGGCGATAAGCCAGACTCAAATTCGGCCCGACTGCGACGCAAAACGAGGTGATGTTATGAGTAGTTTGGCAAACCTAAAGTCAGTACTCAAGTCAGACTTCTCTAGTTCAGAGCTCCGCAGCAGTAGCAAAAATAAAAACTAAAATGGCCAAGATTGCAATCATCTTCGTTCTTTTCGCCCTGTTCGCCGTAAGTTGAAGTCTCGAATTCGGAAAAGAGACTTTCGTGATCCTGGGAATGGAAATTTTAAGAGTGTGTCTTCGGTTTTAGATGGCCATGTGCGACGGACCTGCTACCCCCAACCCCCTGGAAGATCTCCTCAAGAAGGGAGCTGACTTCCTGAAGAACGCTCAGCAGCAATACGGCCCGGAATTCCAGGTTATTATTATCCCTTATTTTTGTACCAGCGCAGTATTCAAAAGTGTTAGAACGAGTTAGAACGAATTCATCAGCGGCATCAAATTAACTTATATATCTGATTGCGAATTTTGGTGCTTATCTGTATTGTATTGCAAAGTGTAATAATTCAGTCTGTAGTTCTATAGTAGTAGGAACAAACCAGCAAAATCCACTTTAAAAACTTTCGCTTTTACTACGAGTGTACATTTACTTTGCTTTTCTATCTAAGAATTATTATTAATCACTTATTTATTTCCACTTATAGAAAGTCCTTAATGAAATCGCCGAGAACTACAAGGATGTATCCAACAAGGTGAACGATTATGTTCAGAACATCACCGTGCCAGAACTGCCATCGAAAAACTAAGACTTTGATGAACTGCCATGTGCCGAATAAATGTTTAAATTTTAATCCAGTTTTCTCAATTGTATAGCTTTTATAAAACTAACTTACTAATATTGTGTCACCAGCTTAGAACATACAGCTTCCACAAGGTCGCTGCGGTAAATGGAAATCCTTAATATCGGAAAATGGACCAAAGCCAGCACTTAAAAGCAGATAACTTATCTATACGATATCAGATTTGGGATTGGTATACCTCAAAATGATTGTGATGATGTTCTGTAAGGAGCTGTTTAATTAGCCCATAGCTTTTCTTAATGACGCCTGATTTTAGATTGGTGTATCTCAAAATGCTTGTTTAATAGGCCCCTAAGAATCTGCATCATTAGTTTGGTTTTCATAATTCAAGTCCGATTTCGGATTGGTAAGATGTTACCCCTGCCAAACTTTTTGTTTTGTTTTTTTTTTTTTTTGTTCGTATTGACATCTTTCACTTCGCTAGATTCTGCATATTAAGCAGACATTGAGCAAATAGTAATGCGGTACCTACTTATCACTACAATCCGGAACATTTAATCTTGCTGTGCCATCAGAATGATCCTGATGGGGAAATGTTTACTTTATGGGATCACAGGTGCTTCTTTCTGCCTGTTATATTATTTTCAAGAAATGCAGTACGCAGTTTTACTTTGCAAATATCGGGTATAAATGTACCGACTAGTTTGAATTCAAGATTCGTTCAAATAAATAGCTTAGAAAGGATGGCTTATCTGTGAAATATTTGTCAGTTATTTTGCACACCTGTCTGAGCAGCAAACTTGGTGGGCAGGAAGCTCCCAGTGCCATGGCTTCCAAAATGAATAATGTATTGGCATTTGTATGACATCACATCGCACCTCCGATCACTCCAATCTAACTCCTTCGCCGCGCACGATTGGATTGAATCAAAAAAGATTATTTCCTTTTCGAGTTTTGGCCAAGTACTCGAATGCACAAACGGAAGCTGGTAAAAGCGGATAATGGCAAAGTGTTGCTTAGACACATTTTATTTACCCGTGTGCATCCGGGCGTCCATCAATTGGCATCTTTTGTGCAATTTTCTATAAATGTTTTTGTTTCTCTTTTGGAATCTATTTTTATTCGAACGCTTTGTTCTTTGATGTTTCTCAGGAAAATAACCAAATTTTGTCACACAAATGGCCAAATAAATTCGATCAGATCAGAGCGCACAAAGGAGCTCGTTGTTCAAGAAAATTCAAAGCTAATCATATGAAAAATAAAACCAGAATACGCTTTGTAATTTCTATGGGGAATTTGATATTTGATCATTTTTAAATTTTATTTTATACATTTTTCTTTAAGCCATGCCACGTTTAATTACAATTTTACTAAATGCAACAACACAATCGCCGGGAATCACAAAAGAGCCCCGGACTGACTGGGTGTTTTGTGGAGTTTAAGAAGTGCAGCCAAGTCTGAAAACGGTCCTCCTCTGCAGTTGCAACAAACATTTCCCCAAGCAGCAATATGGTTGCCATGTCAAGCAGCGCGTGTGTGACAGTGTGAGTGCATTGTAATGCTAATTTAAATAACGATAAGCTCAACAACAGCACCAGCGATGCCAGCAATTCAACAACAAGTGCAACAACGCTGATGATGATGCCAGCAACAACAATGGCAACAATAATAGGAAAACAATTTGGCATTCTGTGATTTTGTCATCGTTTCACGATTGTTGTTGTTAGTTTTCAATGCTCTTGCATTTGACAAAAAGTCCATATACTAAGAAAGATATTTCCCAGGTTAATAAGCACTTTAAACTTTTTTATGGTTTATAGAAAAAATATAAAAAAAAGTATGTGCCAAAACGTTTAGAATTTCAATCGATTGAATATACATAAACTGAATATTTTTATAAATGCATTTAAAACTGTGTATATTTAAAATGATTAAAATAAACATTTTAAAATAATATCGTTTAAAATTTTCTTGGCAAACATATTAAAATTATATCCAAAAGAAGAGTATACAGTTCTTAGGCAAAAATATATATTTTCTTGTACTTGTTGTTTTTCGCCAACTGCAATAAGCCAAACACCACATGCACACACACATCTGGCAATATTAGCGTGCGAGCGGGAAAAACAAATAATAAAGCCACTTGCGCATAAAGGAGCAAAAACAACAGAATAGGAAAAAAGTTTCGCATGATGCAGGACGAAGGGGGAAAATGCAGAGGGGCGGCATTATCCTTTCTATCACTTGTCGCATTTTCGCATAATGGCGTCATTGCTGCCGCTGCCTGTTGCGAACAATGAATACATTTGTAATGTTAATGGAATGCAACGGGAGCTGCGAGGAAACCAAAACGAGAACAACGCCAACCATTTTCCGTCGCCTATTTGAGCTGTTGTCGCCCATGTTTGTTTGTGTTTATCAGTCAGTTGCTTTGCCCCAGAAAAAGGATTGGGGGGCCTCACCAGCCACGCCCACACGCACTCCGCCGGCAGGAAAAAAAGTTCCTCATTCGTTATTCAAACTTGGCTGAGATGCGAGCGTGATAAAATGTGATACTAAAATGTAGAAAACAAAATGTTTTCT